TTGACAAAAGTGCCAAGAACACTCATTGGGGAAATGACAGAAAGGACAGTATCTTCAGTAAAATAGTGATGGGAAAACTGGATATCCACATGTAGAAGAAGGAAACTAGACCCCACCTTTCACCCTATACCGAAACCAACTCAAAATGGATCAAAGATGTAATGTAAAACCCAAAAATATAAGACTACTAGAAGAAAACATAAAGGAAACACTTCAGGACACTGCTCTGGGAAAGGATTTTATGAATAAGATCTCAAAAGCACAGTAGGATATGAAACTAAAAACATTCTGCACAGCAAAGGAAACATTCAACAGAGTGAAAAGATAACCCACAAAATGGGAGAAAGTATCTGGATGTTATTTATCCAACAGGGGATTGATACCCAGAAAATACAAGGAACTCCAACAACTGATCAGCAAAACCCCTCAAACAATTCAATTAAAAAATGGGCAAATGATCTCAAAAAACATTTCTCAACAAAAAACATAACATATGGGCAACAAATACATGAAAAATACTCAACTTCACTAACTGGGGAACTGATGGCTATTATCAAGAAAGCAAAAAATAACAAATGCTATTGGTGGGAATGTGAACTAGTATGGACACTATGGAGAACAGTATGGAGGTTCCTCAAAAAAACTACAGATAGGACTCACCAATCCCACAAGTGGGCATTCATCCAAAGGAAAGTAAGTCGGTATTTTGCAGAGACATCTGTAGCCATGTTTACTGCAGCACTAATAATAGCAAAGACACAGAATCAACCTAGACGTGCAACAACAGATGAATGGATAAAGAAGATACGGCACACATACGCAATGGAATACTAATTGGCCATAAAAAGGAATGAAATCCCATCTTTGCAGCAACATAGATAAGACAGGACAACTTTATGTAAAGTGAAATAAACCAGGAAAAGAAAGTTAACTACCCCTGCTCCCACTCAGACTTGGAAGCTAAAAAAAGTTCATCTCTTAGAAACCAAACAGACAACACTAGAGGGTGAGAAGGCTAGGGGGAAAGCGGGGGTGGGGTGGTTGGGAAAAATGTGTCAAAGGACTCAGAATCACAGCTAGAGAGGATAAGTTCTAGTGTTCTATACCTACAGCCCCCAACCCCCATGGTTACACAAAAATCGTCTTGGTGAAACTCAGGAACAAGGCCACACAGCACGTGAGTGGGGTTAGTCCACAAGGGAAGCTTCATCTGTTTTACAGCATCTCCCCATTGGTTCCATCACCACCTGGTCCCTCTCCTGTCCCATCTCTGCTCCCCCCCGCCCCATGGAAAAACTGTCTTCTATGAAACAGGTCTCTGGGGCCAAAAAGGGTGGGGGCTGCTATTTTCTACCACTGTAGGATGACTATAGTTAATAATACATAGCAGGGATTTTCTACACGTGTGCCATGAAAATTTTAAAGATTATTACTTGAATTATTTTCTACTCTTGCTTTCTTTTTTGGCTAGGGCTGGGTTTGAACCCACCACCTCCAACATATGGGGCCGGTGCCCTACCCTTTTGAGCCACAGGTGCCACCCTCTACTCTTGCTTTTTTTGATCAACATAACTTAAGTGTACTGTGGAAGTTGAACTATAGGTTCAAGTGCAGTTAGATAAAAAAGGTTGAAAAACACTGATATATAGCTTGGAATAGCTAGAAGGAGAACATTAGATGTTACCAACACAAAGAAATAATTGTTTGTAATGATGGCTATGCTGGTCTGATCACTACATATTGCATGTATCAAAACATCACTATGTATCCCGTAAATATTTATGATTATCATTTGCCAATTAAAAAAATAAAATAAAAAGAACCCTTGGACAAGTGTGGTAATCCGAGCACGCTGAAAGGCCCAGGTAGGAGGACTGCCTCAAGCCAGGAGTTTGGGACTGGCCCAGGCAACATAATAAGACTTATGTCTATAAAAATTAAAAATATTAACCCAGCACAGAGGCACTGTAGTCCCAGTTATTCAGGAGGCTGAGGCAGGATTTCTTGAACCCAGGGATTTGAGGATGCAGTGAACCATGACTGCATCATTGCACTCCAGCCTGGGAGACAGAGCAAGACCCAATCTCTTAAACAACCACACCACCACCCTTAAGTATAATGAATAAATAAATTTAGAATATGGAAGAAGAAAAAAGAACCCCTGTTCATTAAAAGACCCTTCAGAGAAGGAAAAAGGTTACAGAGAGAAGTATCTGCCATCCACAGAGCCAACAAATGACTAGTATCCAGAAAACACACACAATGACTACAGATCAATAAGAAAATGGTCATATTCTATTGCCAACATATACATATAATGCCAATAGAAAAATGAGATTCTTAAACAAGCACTTTACAAAAGTTGACCAAACAGCCAATAAACATATGAAAAAAAGTATAGCTTTAGTCATCAGGAGAATAGAAACTAAAATTAGAACGAGATACTACCACATACCCTCCAAAACAGCAAACAAAGACTGATTATACCAAATGACATAAAGGACATGAAGCGACTGGCGCTGCTATAGGCTGCTGGGAGGACTCTAAATTGTTAGAGTATTCTGGAAGTTATCTATCAGAGTTGAAGATACATGTTCCCTGTGATCCAGCAATTCTACTGCCAGGTATTTATATACATACCCCAGAGAAATTCATGGATACGGGCACAAAAGACATGTGTAAGGATGCTCTCAGCAGAATTATCTGTAATAGCCTCAAATGTCCAAACAAGAAACAAAATGTCCAACAAGTAGAATCTATAAACTCTGCTATGTTTATCCAATGAGATACTTACCTCACAGTGATGAAAATGAACTATTACATGCACAGTGTTGGAAAGAAGCAGATAGTGTAAGTATTTTAATTCCTTTCATATAAAGTTTAAAACTATGCCATAAGTTTAGTAAAAAATAAGTACTAAGAAATAAAACATTCTTACCATTCTCACCAATTTTTGTGTATTTTAACTCAATTCTCATAACAACTTTCTAAGTTAGATGAATAGTAATTTGCAGCCCTTTGGGCTACATCACCAGCACCCAGTCTAGCACCTGCCATACAGGTAGATACTCCAAGAATAAATAAAGTCACACAATACACACAAAGTCATTGGCTTTGGCTATTAGATGGGAGCTGGTACCAAGGAAAGATGGTATCTGCGGCATGGCGGGTGAACCGAGACGGCAGAGGGCTGAGGGCTGAGGAATGAAGCAGGTGAGGAAGTGGTAACTTCTCTTTCAGAAGTTCCACCGTTTGAGCGGCAGGCTGGGGAATGGTGCTCTTACAGTGAAGCAGGTAGATTAGGGACATGTTTGAAGGTTAGAACAAGAAAACCGGGATGGGGAAGAGCCCAAGGGTGTGTGTGGGGAGTTGGTCGTGAACATGAAACAAGGAAAGACAGAGGAGAAGAAATGAATGAGAAAGCTTGTACTTTTCTTTCATGATGTGAGTAAAGACCTCCAGGGAGGAGAGTGGATTAAAGGAGGCTCAGGAACACAAGTCTGTGGCAGACTGGGAGCCACTGGCAAACGGAGCAGTGAGAGCCATGGCCAGGGCCACGGGCCTCCCAGATCAACAGAACAACACCCTCCACTTTTCTCTCTCCTGCCTTGAGAAAACACTTTCAGCCAGAGTGGTGCTGAGTATCTTGTGGGCTCTGGACTTTCACTCGGACTCACTGTGAAGTACATCCCTCACTGAATCACCAGGACTACTTGCTATCACTCCCTATCACCACTTTCCCATGCAGGTAGTAACAGGCAAGCCCTGAGGAGGGTTAGGTCACATTTTTTTAAATACTGACATACCCAATTTTTTCTTGAAAGATGTTGAAAAGCATTTTAATTGCAGAAATAGTTAGTGAATTTTATCCCTAGGCCTTTAGTGTTGGAAATCCACAGAGTTTAAGCATGTAGACAAAAGCTATCGAGTCCACAAACTGAAAACAAGAGCCTATAACTTCTCAGGGAACAATCTTAACGGCAATTGTCCTTGTGGGTTATAAAATATTTCTCTATTAGAGAATGAACTGCAAGAGCACAAAGGCGTATTTTATCCTAGTGATGGATGATACAGAATTTTTCTTTACATGAAAGAAACCATTTGATTGGGAGTTTGACAGTAAAAATAAGGCACAACAGCTATTTAGTTTTACAAGCCTAACAAAGTATTAAAACCTATAAAACGCAGCTTGTCACGCAGAGAAAGTATTAGTAGTGTGACATTTAAATGCTCTGAAGTCTCCTTAACAGAGTCAAAAACATATAGACTATCAACTGCACTTACCCAAGTACAGACCCATAAAAACCATCAGACCGGAAAAAACTTTACATTTCAACATTAACTAATTAATTCAGTAGAGGAGTGTGTAACAAGGGTTTGGCCCTTCTTTTCAGGAAGGATTAAAACCATCTTGATATCTTTTCGCTGACACACCTGAAAGAACAGGACCAGAACCTGTTTTCATGTCCCTCTTCAAAGGTGTAACTGCTGTTGAGATTTATAGATTGAAGCTTCTATGTCTCACTCTGTGGCCCTGGGTAGGAGTGCAGTGGCATGATCATAGGTCACCACAACCTCAAACCCCTGGGTTCGAGTGATCCTCTGGATTACCGAGGCACACCACCATACCCGGGTAAATTTTGTATTTTTTGCAGAGACAGGGTGTCACTCTGTTATTGGTTGTAGAATTTGGCTGGTCTCAAACTCCTGAGCTCAAGCAATCCTCCTGTCTCGCCTCCCAGAGTATGAGGATTAGGTGTGAGACATGATACCCTGGCCTTAATTCATATTTCATTTTGAAGTTTTTCATTCCCCACTAGAGGTAAGGTTCCTGAAATACACCAATCCTTCCTAGATTCTTTCAAGTCCTTCTGAAGACCATAAAATCAGTGACTCTGAACTTGTTAACTGTATAAAATGGCAGGGCCTACACCAGCAACACAGTTCTTATTTGGAAGGAATTTCAATGTATCGTTAGATAAATAAACTTAATTTCTTACCCTATTGTTGGGTTGATGTTTGGATCAAAACTGTCTTCCACAAATCGCCACACAATACTTGATTTACCTACACCTGTATCCTGAAAGAGAACGAGATATGTGACTGAGAAAAACTTCAACTACTTAAAAGACCCAGAAAACTACTTTGTGTTATAAGTTCAAGATTTTTATTTTTTATTTTTTTTTGCAATTTTTGGCCAGGGCTAGGTTTGATGCCACCACCTCTGGGATATGGGGCCGGGGCCCTTCTCCTTTGAACCATAGGGTCTTGCCCTATTTCCTGAGCTAGGACACAGTGGTGCCTAGTTTACTGCAATCTCCAACTCCTAAGCTTAAGCAATCCTCCTGCCTCAGCCTCCAAAGTAGCTGGGACTACTGGGATGCACCCACCGTGCCTGGCTAATTTTTCTATTTTTTGGAGCGAGGGGTCTCACTCTTGCTCAGGTTGGTCTAGCACTCCTGGCCTCAAGCGATCTTCCCACTTAGGCTTTCCAAATGCTAAAATTACAATGTGAGCCACACACCTGGCCAAGTTTAGAATTTGTATAAAAAAATCATTCTCAATGTTTAAATTTTATAAGTTGAGGGGCACAAAGGACGTTTTCATGAAAGTTTAGTGGAATAATTAAGGCGATTTCAAAATGTATTCTAAGAGAGAGAGTTTACACTTTTAAGAGCCATTAGGACCTTCTGAAAAAGACCTGAAGTTTTTGCTTGTGTGAAAAGTGACAAGTCCACTTGCTTTTTAACAAATACTAGGAAAGTCTGAAATATTGAATTCAGAGTTTCTGAATTCATTACTTCGTGAGTTATACCTAAATGAATTCTACCCCCACCCTATTTGGGAGAAATAAGACTAGTTATTAGAAGGCGTTTCAATCTCTAAGGCACTAAACTCAGGAAAAAGAGCATCAACCTCAGAAACGCGGCTTTGAAATGGTCAAGTTACCCTGACAAGACAGAAAGGCGAAGCTTCAAGTTCTTTGAACTTCACGACGTGAACACCCTCTTTGCTCCACAGGAAGAGTTACTTTACTTTTTGGGAAGTGTCAGGGGTACTCCACAAGTTCAAAAACATCCAAGAGACAGGAAGAAGTCTAAGGCTGCTTGTAAAACCTGAAGATCTGTTCCTGGTTTTACTCTGAGAGACTTGGTCAACTCCCAAATAGTACCTTAGTAAGTTGGGAGAAAACTATTAACCTAGTTGCAATGGAGAGGCAGAGGAGACTGTATGCACTTGGGGGGCCGGAAAAGTCCAAGAGCTACAAGAAAGGGAAAGAAGAGGGTTCCTGTTGCCTTTCAGGGTCTTCGGGAGGGTGCAGCAAGGTGGGCGGGACGGCTCCGGGATTGGCAGGGTCCGGACGGAGGCGGAGGAGACGTGGGGGCGCCGGGGCCCGTGCCCACCCGGCCCCCCGCGGCCTTCCCGGCCGGACCCACCGACACTCACCCCCAACAGACACACTTTGAGTTCCCTTAGCGCCATGGCCCGGGAGCCAGGGCCCGAGCCAGCCGCCGCCCTAAGTTGAGGAGGGAGAGGCCGGGTCCAACACGAACATCCCCCGGCGCCGCCGCCGCCACACGGCCCAGCCCCAGCCGCGAGGAGCCCAGAGGCCGCGGCCGCCCGTCCTCCGGCCCTGGGCTCGGCCAGCCCGCTGCCAGCCACGCGGAGCCCGCCTCAGTAGTCCGGACGCCGCCGCGGCCTTCCGGGCACCACCGCCGCCGCCATTTTGGGACGCCAGCCGGGTCACCTGACCTCCCCGCCCACCTCGGCAGCCACCTTCGCTGCGAGGGCGGGGCCGGCCGGCCCGGGCTGGGGGCGGGGCTATAGGCTTATGGCCCCGCCCCCACATTAGGCTCCACCCCCAGCCCCGCCTCCAGGCTCATCCCAAGATGGCGGTGAGTGGGGCCAGGTTCCCGGGGGCGTCGGGGCGGCAACCATCCCCCTCGTGTGGTAATCACCCAGTCCAGGCTGGGGGAACCCCCGTCCGCCGTAGCCCCCTAGTAATTCCTGTGAATGTCTCTCTTTCAGAGATCTCCCTGTACTTTGTGGACTTGCAGGATGACTTACACTATTGTAAGTAACAGTTGGGGCGTCCCCGCCCCTTCCTGGGGCTTTCTCACAGAATTCGGGGTGCACGAAGCTCTCGGGGAGCTACAGGTTCTAGGTGTTCGGACCGGAACAGCCGGATCCTCAGCTGCCTTGATCTACTTGTGGCATTCCCTCCTCACTGGGCGGGGCGGGCTGGGGCGGGAACCCTCCTACCTGGATGGGGGGGAAGGATTTTTGTTGCTGCTGGGAAACTTTTGATACTTTCTCTTTCTCCTCCTCATCCTCTTCCAGCTGCTCTGGGAGGAGCGGGAGTGGTTAGTCCCAGGTGCCGGTGGACTCGGGACACGCCCTTCTCCCTTGGACTTCTCCGAGTGCGGACCCCGGGGTCCGGCTGTCCGCGCGGGGCCATGGGGCTGCCCGGGCTTGGGGCGTCCCGGCCACACCCCCAGCCCCTTCTCGTTCCCTGTGGAGCCCGTTGGACCCGCGTCGCTTGGGTGGGTCTCTTTCACTTGACCCTTTTTGCCTTCTTTTCTTTGGAATCATTTTAAGGGCTGATAGCCGGGGCAGATGTCCTCGTGGAAATCCAAGTTTGCATTGTGGTGAAGGAAGGATTTTCTTTTTGTTCATCAAATATTTCTTGAGCACCTCTTTGTTCTGAGCCGGGCCATGTGTTGGGTTCTGGACCTACACACAGGAGTTAGAAACAGCCACCACTTCTCAAGGAACTCCCAGGCTGGCGCTGGAGAGGGCAGACCTGTAAACAACAACAACAAAATTTACCGACCTAGGGATGCAGGCTGGTGAAGAGCCCTGAACAAACCATCCACGTAGCTAAGGGTAAGTGGGGGTTTACTGTGTACCGGTCAGGTGCCCTATTCCCTCTTGTCTTCCCTTCCACATCTGCACGTTTCTTGGTAAGAGTTGCTGTTTACTGAAAACTTGGCAAAAAGCATGGGGTGTTAAACCCTTTGTTCACGTTAACTTTTTTTTTAGCAGGGAGCAGTTTTATTAAAGTAGCAGGTTACTTGAGGGAACAATCCACAGGCTCCGTTTCTGGAGTCAGATGTGCCAAGGAGTGAAGCCCTGGGCTACTACTCACTGGCAGTGTGATCCTGGGCAAGTCATTGTACCACATTAAGCTCCGATGACCTCCTCTATAACATGGGCATTCTCAGAATGTCCCATTTCAAAAGATTTTTGGGAGGGTTAAACGAATAAAGGGTTTAGCATGAAGCCTTGTGTGTAATAACGTATGTAATAAAGATTTGGTAAGCTTTGGCTACCATTATTATTGTTATTAATCTGATCCTTACAACGTTTAACACTGTTGAGCTGGGGCCAGTGTAGAACCAGGTCTGCAGAGCTGAATGTTTCAGTCGCCACCTCCTCAAATTGAAGGAATTTCCAGTTTGGTTGATAAAGTGTCAATCTGCTGTGAAGGTGCCTCTCATTCATAGATTTGGTGTTTGGTGTGGCTGGAAAAGGTGATCTTTAGCTATGAGCTTTATCATGAGCCTAAACTCTATGACATAAGCCAACAGCATTTTAATTCTTACATGGTTGTGGGTGGTTTTCACTGGGAAAGCTTCACTCACACAGGTGGCCCTGGTCCTGGCTGCTGGCTGGATATCTGCAGGAATTGATGACCAAGGTTTCAATTCTCCAGGAGGGCTCTTTTCTGCTTGATGAGGTTCTTCTCACAGTGTGGTGGCCTCAGGGTAGTTGAGTCTCCTTTCTGGTGGCTAGTTTTCTCCAATCATTTGTTGCATATATATATTTATATATGTCTGTGGGTCATTATGAAGGTTTAGAGATACATAGAAATTAAGATCTGTAAAATCTGTGCAGATGGAAACAAATGAAGCCCTTCCAACAAACCCATAAACCAAGCAAATTGGAACTTATATGGGTGAATCAGAAGAAATGCTGTTTCTTCAAAGTGAAATAATGGACCATAACATAGTCTGTCTTAAAACTTGCTTAATGACCCACATGTAAAAGAGAAGAGATTTATAGGAAAAAATAATGACTTTAAAACTTTAGCCCTACTTGATCAAATATTAGGTGTTTGAGATTTGTAATAAAAAAGGATGTGGTGTGGGTGGCTCACACCTGTAGTCCTAACACTTTGGGAGGCTGCGGCAGGAGGATTGCTTGAGTCCAGGAGTTTGAGGCTGCAGTAAGCTGTGATTGCATTGTTGTACTCCAACTGGGATGGCAGAATGAGAACCTGTCTCTAAAAAAATTCTAAAAAGGCTTAAATATTCTTTTTTTTTTTTTGGAGACAGAGTATCATATGAGTAAATAGAGTGCTGTGGCATCACAGCTCACAGCAACCTCAAACTCTTAGGCTTAAGCAATTCTTTTGCCTCAGCCTCCCAAGTAGCTGGGATTATAGGTGCCTGCCACAACGCCTGGTTTTTTGGGGGTTTTTTTGGTTGTAGTTTGGCAAGCCTAGGCTAGATTTGAACCTGCCAGCTTCGTGGTGTATGTGGCTCACACCCTAGCCACTGAGCTATAGGCACCCAGCCGGCTTGAATATTCTTTAGCAGACAGCTGAAGTCTTGTTCCAGTAAGGAAGGAAACCACCATTATGGCTCTGAACATAAACACACCTTGGGTGTGACAACTCCAGGAGCCTCCTGGGGATTCCTTTTGGGCAGGGATGGGAGCTGTGGGCTGCTCTATCTTATGACTTTATAATGTAGTTGATCTAATAATGGTAATAGGAGGGTCCGTTTCCCTCCTCCTTCCCCTGATTTATGCTATCTTGGGTCCCGCCAGTCCCCTTTCACTTCACTGTCCTTGTGTTGGGAGGCATTATCATGCTGTGATTTACAGCAAGAATCTTGAAGTCCTATCGCCTGGTGCTTTCACATCCGTAGCTGTGTTAGCTTGGGTGGGTCACTCATCCACTCTGTTCAATTCTTTGTCTGGAGAAGAGCATATAAGACAGGGGCTGCTTCGTAGGACTGGCATGAGGGCTAGAGGAGATAATTCCCATAAAACATTTTAGTTCCCTGCATCATCATCATCACTGTTGCTAGCTTTTCATGTAAGACCTGATTAACAGCTGCTGCTCTGTAAGGTAGGTGGGATTATTCCTATTTTACAAAGCATAAAACTGAGAATCAGGTTGAATAACTTACCTAGTGTGGCATAGTTCATGAATGGTAGAATTAGCAGACAAATACTATCTTTTCTGACTCTTGTTTTTTTTTTTTTTATTCCAGCATATAGATTGATCTCTAATATTCTCACCCCAGTGGTGGGGGCATGGATGTTGTTTGGTTGGTGTTGTGTCTCTTGTTCTCCTTGAGCATTTTTGTCTAAATGGTGTGATGCCCTCCTTTTAGATTGCAGGTCCTGTTGCACAAGGACACGGGTCATCCTTTATTATAACCCAAGGACCTGCACGGTCTGGGTGCTCAATTACGCAGTTACTGTTACCAGTAACACATTATGAGGCTCTCGTCTGATTTATTTTGTGATTCTTGATTACATGTGGTTAATTTCAAAAAAGAAGCCATAATGAATGGATATCTTGGTTTTTAAATCATTCAGAGTCTTTGGGCCATCACAGCATAAAAGAGATTTGGTTTTAGAGAACTGGCTTGCTGAGGCAATCTAAATTCCTTCTCTTGAGAGCACAAAGCGTGTGGGATAGCCTGGCATACTGGTTTGCATGTCGAACTGCATGTGGAAGGTAGAGCTGTATGAGTCTATGCCTAAAAGCCTATGAATGCCTGGGTTTGCTTACAGCATATGTATACTGTTGGTAAGGTTTGCTTCGCCAATTAGAATTTAAATATATGCCAGAGATGGGTGGGTAAAAAACTGAGGGAATCTATTGCAGATACAAAGAGACCTAGCAATAAAATACAGTCTGTGGTCACATTCGGATCCTTAGTTGAACAAACCAACTATAAAAAGACATTATAGAGACACTTGAGGAAAATTGAACTTGGGCTGGGCGTACTAGATAATATTAAGCATTATTATTAATTTTGTTGCATGTGGTAATGGCTTCATGGTTTTGTTCAAAGGAAAAAAGCCTTATCTAACAGAAACAAGCATTCATGAGCGAAGTGATTTGATGTGTGAAGTCTGCTTTCAAACACTGCGGCAACAAATAAACAGAGTCGGGGGAGGGATGGATGGAAAAACAAATGGCAGGATGTTGATACTTGGCAGATCTGGTTGCTGGGGACTATTCTATTTTTGCATATTTTGAAAATTTCCATAGTAAAAGGTATAAAAAATGAGATGAAATTGTCACATATGATCAAACATCTGCAGGAAGAGTTGGAAGGCTGGATTTCAATTCTGAAATCACTGCACAGTTATTGTGAGATGCACTTAGCTTCAAAAGACTTACTCGTAAAATACATTAGTATTTGGGGGACAGTCTATTTCTTTTGAAGTGTTTAGTTTTCACGAGATATCTATGGAAAAACTTGGAAGAGGGGCTACTTCTGTTTCTGAGAAAAGCTAGGTACCAACAAATGATACCTGGACCTTTGGTGAAAATAGGATTAGCTAAGCCAGCGGAATAGACAGAAGGTAGACTCCTTGAATCTTAATACTAGAAGGAGCAGTGTATGTTCAACCTTGAATAAAAGACATCTTTCAGGCAAAAAGCATAATGTTTCACCTGCCTGCCTTGTTCTGTATTTGTAAAATTGTTCTTTTCCAGGACCACAACCAAGCTACGTGCCC